CTAAGCCGCAGGGTGGAAACCGATGCGGGATCCGTGCACGGAGCACCGCGCAGGAATAACAACCCGGAGGAGGCACACGGCTTGTTGGTGCACAGTTGACATTCAGCTCTGCCAAAGCTAGGTCAGGACGAGGCACCCCGTCAGGATGCAATAGTGAAATGTCTCCGAGAAGATGCAAACTTTTCTTGGCTGTGTTTCTCCGAAGGACCCCGGAAGTCACGTGGCTTCATGAATTAAGCTAAAACGGGGTCATTTCAACTTGATCCAGACATAGGGCTAACGTGGGCAGAGCTGCCTGGACTGGGGATAGAGCAGCACAGTATAAAGCGTAGTGATTTTCTCAATGTTGTGCCTACTGGATACTTCCACCACCACCACCACCATCATCATCATCATCATCTGCTCAACAAACGTGTATTAGGCACACATTCAAGGTACTGGGCGGAGTACAGGGGATAAGACACGACCTCTGACCTCCAGGGGTGGAGGGAAATCAACATATAAACTAACCAAAGTGAAAGCCCATTATAAATGTTATAAAGAGCAGGCGGAGAAGGTGGTCATTTTAGGCGAGGCAGGAAATGTTGGGAGAGGCTGCATAAAGGTAACGGGAACAGGACGTTGAAAAGGTACTCCTGAGGGAGCAGGGACCAGCGCCAGCAGAGGTGGGGCGTGGGGGGCAGCTGCCCATGGGGAGCAGCACCGGCTTTTCTTTATAATAGGAATACAGTGTCAAGGGGTGGAGGGACATGGGTGAGGAGGGTATGAGGGATAAGACTGGGGAGGCAGGCCCGGCTGGGGTGGCTCAGTGGTTGAGCATTGGCCTAAGAACCAGGGGGTCACAGTTCGATTCTGGGTCAGAGCACATGCCTGGATTGCAGGCTCGTGGCCAGTAGGGGGCGTGCAGGAGGCAGCCGATCAATGATTCTTTCTCATCATTGATGTTTCTATCTTCCTGTCTCCCTTCCTCTCTAAAATCAATAAAAATATATCTTAAAAAACGACTGGGGAGGCAGGCAAGGTACTGGCTGCGGGAGGGGTCCCACCGACATGTGCCACCTGATATTTGGGATGGCCAATCAAGGAAGAACACCGAGCCGATACATCCTTTGCCAGCATTCCAGCCATCACCTGGAAGCAGGTGTGTTTGCACGGGCAACGTGCACACCCTCTTCTGGTACAAGAAACTGCCACTTCTTTTTCACTTAGACTAGATGTAGTTCCTGTTTTCTTGGCAAAGAAAGTGCTTGGGTGTTAAGCACATCCTTCGGGGGGACAACGGCTAGAGATGGGTGCTTCCACGGACTGTGGCACTGCGAGAGCAGGGACAGGTCTGTGATGGGAAAGAACTGGGGCCAGTAAGGAAAAGCCAGAGGCGGAGGATGAGAAAGGACAACGAAGTCAAGTCACACATCTGTCTGGCCAACACACGCCCAACCAGCACACGTCCTGAAGGGGTACGTTTCCATCCTTGCCCGTTTAATTCTTCACGTGAAGGTAGGGGAGTTCAGCCAGATTCCCTGCTGCCATGTTAGTTCCAGCCATTCCCTCGGCCTTGGGACACGCAGGCTCCGGGGGGATAGTGGCAGACCCTCACCCGACGGTGCCCAGGACACTGCGGTAAGGACAGGTGTCCGAGAGCCAGCACAGGGCAGCCTCAACTCCTAATCGCAGGTGGAGACGTGGAATTGCCAGCACGTTGGCAACACCCTGGGCCAGGAAAGGGAGAGGGCCGTGGACCGGCCTGTCACCCTTCCGGGGCCAGCGCCAGGTGTCAGCTGGGAAAGGGATGGGCGGGGCACGCCCGGCAGCCCTGTGGCCTTGGACAGGCCAGCGGAGCTCGCCCGGCCAGTTTCCCCGGTTATAAGGGTGGTTGTGATGCAATGACAGACAGGGAAGCATCTGGTCAGGGGCCTGGTACATGGAAGGTGCTTAGTCAATGCTGGTTTCTCCTCCCGGGAGAGCGAGGCTCTCCGCCAGCAGCCGCTTCCCTGGCCTGCTCGCGCCCGTTTCCACACCCTTCCCACACCTGGCATGTGTTTTGACGGGCTGGCCTTGCGTTAGCATCCCTATTGGGAGCGCTCGCTTGGTTCACCTGGCGGAGGGACCCCTGCACAGAGCACGTGGAGCTACGCAGTGGAAACGGCGGGCGCTCCGACTTAACCTTGCCCAACTTTTTGCAGGTTTGGTCGGTTTGAAAATTTCAAAAACAGTGTTGAGAGAACAGTACAGTGACCAGCTATGTATTAGATTCACTAATTATTACCATCTTGCCACACATCTTGCCACACTTGTGTGCGTGTACACACAGCTATTTTTTTTTTTTTGTCTTTGCTAAGATTGGAGATCTGGGCCTTGGGGAGGTGATTAGTCATGAGGGTGTAGCCCTCAAGATGGGATTAGTGCCTTCGTAAGAGATACCAGAGAGCTTGCTTCCACTCCCTCCCTCCACCCCACCCTCCCTTCCAGGTGAGAACATAGCTAGAAGCCAGGAAGAACGTTGTGGCCAGCAACCAGTGGGCAGCACCTTGATCTTGAGCTTCCCTGTCTCCAGCACTGTGAGAGGGAAACGTTAAGCCACCCAGTCTAGCGTGTTTGTTACAGCAGCCTGAACGCAGACACAGTTGCAATGGTTGTTGAGAGACGATCATTAAAATATCTCTCCTTTTCTACGTGAACCCTCTCAGCATTACATTTACCATCTGTGAGACTTCGGACAAGTGACTTAATGTCTTTGTGCCTCACGTTCCTCATGTAGAAAGGAAGAGAAATGAGGCGAACTTCCACAGAGGTTTGGATACACGTATGCACATCTGTGCAAAGTGTCCCTTTTATGGGAAGGGCTCCATCAGTGTTGGCTGCCGTGGCTGTGACTGTTATTAAAGGATTGCTGAGTTCATATTCCCAGAGCAGAGCTGTGTCTGTGCAAACATCTTTAGACCAATTCTCGAGAGACTCGACCTAGATTGTCGTCGTAAGCCACACTGGCTGGCTTTCATGAAAAGCCGGTGCCTACCTCCGGGAAGGGCCTGTCCCCTGAGATGACTCTACGACTGTGAACCGAGGGCAGCAGTGGGGCGAGCAGCAGGGAGGCCCGAGGAGGACTTGCCTGGCCGTCCTTGCAGGATGCGACCCGACCTTTCTCTGCTACTTGGTGCCCTGTGCCCCCGGCCAGGGCACCGGCGCCCTCTGTGCAGTGTCCCCACGGCAGGCCTCCGGGGCCCACGGGAGAGGCCGGAAAAGTCGGCAGCACCGGACGGTGGCTGCTTTCATTTCAGGGCAGCCCCAGGCCGGGTCCAGCGCTCAGGCTGTGCTTTGCTGTATTCAGAAGCACAATGAGTGGGAGCTGAGCATTTAGGAATGTTGCCTTACACTCTGGCCTTGCAGGAGCTGCAAACCGCGAGGGAAGCTCTGACAGTTGGCCGTGATGGCCATTCTATTGCCAAGGGCAGTGGCTTTATAAAGCGAAGGATGACCCTTGAAGTGTCCAGCCCATAGGCATTCACTTTTTGCTTCTCAATCTCTTACCTCCTACTGAGATTAGTGCCTTCATAAGAAGAGATGTTTTAGGGTCATTTTTTCCTAAACTGCATGCTCCGTGCTCCCCAGACACAAGTCCAACAAGGTAGGAGCCTTAGCCACAGGGAGAGAGAAGCAGGTGTGGGGCTGAGGTGGGCAGACCCCCCCCCCCCTCATGCCTGAGATGAGGAGTTTATTCACCATGCAGTCTGGACCGCTGGCTATATTTGGTTTGTTTCATAAGGTTATCCAGAGCCTATGAGCAATACCTCAAAGCCCTTTAATTGTCCCTGAATTCTTATCTGAGAGGACAGCTTTGGGTAGAAAATTTGCTTATTTTTCAAATAAAAAAATACGAGGATGTTTCCAAAGACAAGCTTTCTCTGTAGCTCCTTCTCTCTCTTTTCCCCTTAAATAGACCCTTTTGGTCTTTCCCCCCCTCCCTATAGTATCTTCTGCTATTTGCAAGTCAATAACATTAAAGTTAGTCTTTCCATTTTTACCATCGCTTATCATTCCTATACAAATGGGCATGTGACACCTTTGCTGCTCACATGGAGATGAGTGCCCTTGTCCGAGGAAAGGAGGTATGTGAGGGAGCCCCCCGAGCAAGGCCAGGAGGGTGACACCTGAGAGCCGAACCACAAGTCAACATGAGTGGCGGATGGCAAGTACAGCAGGTATCTGAGGACACCGGACCGGTCCTGGGCCAGCGAGACTCCAGGGTCACTCAATCGAGTGTGTTGATTTGCCCAAAGTGGACGTGGGGGCCAACCAGAGGCCAAGCCAGGCTGCAGTGGCGCCCACCCAGTCACAGCCCCAGGAGGGAGTGTCCTGGCCCGTGGACGGGACGGCAGCCCCGGGGCCGGGCTGCTTGTAGGAGGTGCACGTGATGTGCTCATTAGGAGCACAGGGCATGGAGTCAAAAGGCCTTGGTTCCCAGCCTGGCTCCTTACTTCTTCGGTGACATCGCAAGTTACTGAACTCTTTGTGCCTCAGTTTCCCTTTCTGGGAAATGAAGCTCCTAACCGGGTAGCCGTGAGGACTAAATAAATTAATCTACGCGGAGTTCTCAGCACGATGCCTAACGTGGGGGAAGCATAACGCTCGGTGGCTGCTGTTGTTACCGTCACTAGGATGGACTTACCAGGTCATCACGCCTGACACCTCCCCTTGGCCTAGTTCTTCTCACTCACAGCATTCTGCCTGATTGCCTTCCCCGCACCCCTGTCGCCAGGGGATGCTACACTGGCCACGCTGTGAGAGTACCCCCATCCACACGGTAGTGACGACTCCGAATGACATTGAGCATTTCGAATCCGCGTACAGAGCAGTCTCCTAGGAGACGTGCTGATGGGGATCAGTGGCTCTGAGTGGGACCAGTTCGAGGCCACGACAAGCCCAGGTGTCTCGCCCCTGCCCTGCCTCGGTGTCACCCCGGCCCGCATCCGAACGCCCGCCACCTCCCAAGCAGGCCTTACCTGTGACGTGGAGCTTTTCGTCGGTGACCTCCGCCTTCAGGTAGATCCGGCCCCTCTTCTCTGTGTGGTCCATCCCACAGAGGCTGGGCACGTTGATCACACACTGCTTGTGCACATTCATATCGCAGGCTGCGGGTCGAGAAAGCGGAGGGTGAGTGGGGCTGGGCATATGGACCTGAACCGTCACTTGCTCAGTGTTTTGGTTGGAGAAGCGCAAGTGAAAACAAGACACCCTTTAACTCGATACTTTGTTATAATGTTGTTGGTGACATGGATACTTTGTTATAATGTTGTTGGTCACATGGAGAACTGGGAGCAGATGTTCCTCACAGCACAGGCGTCCTGTGCACCACAATAGCCTCTAAATGTCCACACCACGTTGGCTCAGTCATAACTGAAGCAAACCCCCTGCCTGGTCTGTGATGGCTTCAGAGATGTAACAGTGCACAGCACGCACCGGGCAGTGCCTGCGGAGCCCACACAGATCCACATGCGACGGACACAGAGGCAAAGAACACGCACATTTTACACAGAGGCCACTTTCTGCCAGAGAATTGCTTATGCCTTCCTAGCCCACCACTTAGAAGGCGTGAGAATCTGTGGGTTGAGTGGAGGAAATTCATAACATTTTCCTTTCCCAAGCGAACTCTGTATTTTCAACAAGGCTTAAATACATTGCTTTTGGTTTATTGTGTGTGTGTGTGTGTGTGTGTGTGTGTGTGTGTGTATTTTTAAAGAACTAGTATTTGATATTTTAAACCTGACTTCAAATATTTCAATATTACTGCAAGTACAACAAATACACGCCTGGCATGATATGCCATTCCTTCCCGGCTGACATTTCGTGGGCGAGACGGGGGAGGATGAAAAAAAGACTAGTCATTGCAGCGAACCAGAGACACCCTGCGAAGAACCCTGTGCAGAGCACAGACACGAGGCTCCGTGGAGGCGCTGCGGCTCCGGTCCCCCAGGGGCTGCCACGGGGCTCTTCTGTGACCTGCGAGGTGGAGCCGTCATGCCATTTCGTTGTGAGGGTTGAATTTCAATCCGGGTGAATGAAATTGGAAAAAGCATGGTGGAGGATGTCTGTGTGCTGGGATGGAGCCCGGAAGGCGGGATGATGGGCGCAGGAATAAAGAACAATGGGCTGATTCACGAAGGTGATTCTGCATAGGCTTCTATTTCCAAAGTTACCTGTTCAAAGCCATGTATCTGGGTTAGAAAAGATACTGACTCTGGAAATTACCTTCAAGCGCCTGGGAAGCATTTGCAACGTAGAGGAAACAAAGGCCACAGCCTCTGCGGAGGATCCGGACAACGGGGAGGGCGAGGGAGGTGAAGGCGTGCTGGGCTCTGTTCTTGTCGTGGCTTCTCCCATTAGTGGCTTTTATATCTTGGGAAGCTTATCTGCTCTCTGGGATTCCATTTCTTACTCTGCAAACTAAGAGGCTGGCCCAGACAAGCGGCTGATAAGCTTCTTCCCACCATAGGATTACGACCCTACAACGTGCAGGCAGAGGGTTCTCCGCTGCAGAAGGTAAGGGAGGGGCTGGGTCCTGGCACCCACCTGCCTTCTCTCCTCCTCCCTCCCGGAAGGAGCTCAGGCAGCCGCCCCAGAGGCCTCAGGACTCCAAGGAAAGGAGTTTAACACAAAACAAAACAAAACAAAAAGCACTGGGCCCCCGCCCAGCCAGTGTGGCTCAGCGGTTGAGCACTGACCTATGGACCAGGAGGTCACAGTTCGATTCCCGGTCAGGGCACATGCCCGGGTTGTGGGCTTGGTCCCCAGTGTGGGGCATGCAGGAGGCAGCCGTTCAATAATTCTCTCTCATCATTGATGTTTTTATCTCCTTCTCCCTCTCCCTTCCTCTCTGAAATCAATAAAAATAAATATTTTTTTAAAAGCACTCGTTTTCAGATTTTTTTAAAAAAAAACAACAGAACCCATTTTCCAATAAAGACTTAAGCGGAATCCTAATATGTAAACCAGATGAGTATTCTTTTATTAGCATATAATAAATTCAAATTTATACCATTTACTTATTATAAAGACATTCATGGACAAACAACAAAGCCCTCAGATCCAAACACATTTTGAAACCAGCTGTGAGGGATGCTGGGTGAAGTCCCAGTTCTGCCTCAAGAACTTGTTTACTGATGCTTCTCCTTACAGTGATGCAGGACCAGAGCCCCGGCTCCTACAGAAGAGTGTGCACCAGCGGCAACACTGTCTAGCTCCCGCTTCCCAGGCCTGGGGACGCTTCAGTGCAGTGGATGCAGCAGGAGGAACTTGGCTACACGTTCCTCTCAGTGAGTGACGCCGGGCAACATCCGGTCTCCCACACCACCCTCAACACGTCAAGGTTGAGTGTGTCACACATTCAAGTGCTCCTTTTGTTCCAACGTTGAAAGCAGTGACAAGTGTACTTACAAATGCACCTCCAATGTGCACTTGCAGAGCCCTGAAAACCGTGTCTTTGGGATCCCTGTGTTACGTTAGGCTATGAAATTCCACAGCTTGGCCCGGCTGGTGTGGCTCAGCAGTTGAGTGACGCCCTAGGAACTAGGACAGCGGTTCTCAACCTGTGGGTCGAGACCCCTGTGGGGGTCGAACGACCCTTTCACAGGGGTCGCCTAAGACCATCGGAAAACACATATATAATTACATATTGTTTTTGTGATTAATCACTATGCTTTAATTATGTTCAATTTGTAACAATGAAAATACATCCTGCATATCAGATATTTACATTACGATTCATAACAGTAGCAAAATTACAGTTATGAAGTAGCAACAAAAATAATTTTATGGTTGGGGGTCACCACAACATGAGGAACTGTATTAAAGGGTCGCGGCATTAAGAA